CTCCCCAGAACTCCTCCCTTTCTTGATGGCTCCTGAAGGAGTTCTAGAAGGCCGTCTCTTGTCCCCGGATCCCTGGGGTACGGGCCTAATTGGAAACCACTCCGGTTTGCCCCTCGGTAGGAAATGAGGCAGACAGGATGTTGGTGCCAAGGCAAGCCAAAACCCTAGTCATCATGGGAGGCGTCTGCAAGCTTCCTGCCATGAGCAGCTGGGCTCAGCTACAAGGCATGCTGGGACAGGAGTAGTGGGAGCCGGCCCCAGGGGTGACGGACTGGCAGGGGCTCCAGGCAGGTGGGCGGGGCTCTGACAGAAAGCATCTCTGGCATGTGCCAAGGGTGTGTGTCCTCAGGTGGGCAGCAACATCTCCTCTCCCAAGAGTTCTGTAGTTCTTCCTCTCCAATTGCTCAGCCTGTGCCGATCCCTGTGCAATTATTTGAGCAGCCAAAGAGGACAGACAGAAAACAGTGGTGCAGGGGAGAAGGGACCATGCCAAATCTGCCAAATTCAAATATCTCTGTTATCCTTTGCCACAATACTGTTGCGCGGCTGTGGCTGCTTCTGGCTCCCAAAGGTGGCGCCAATCATGTCGCGCATCCTGCATTGTTTTTTGAAATGTGATCTTGCCATTTCCCCATCAAGAGGCGACATCTATTTCTTTGCCCTCTTGAATTTGGGAGGATGCTATGACTGTTTTGACCTATAAAATACGAGGGAAGTGATGCTGTACCAGAACCGGCATAGCCCTTCACCAGCCTGGCGGCTTCATCTTCCTGCCTCTTGGAAGCCAGTGGCCGTGTTGTGAGAGGCTCATGCCACATGGAAGGGTCATGTGCAGTCAGTAGCCCCAGCTGGGCCCCCAGATGACAGCCAGCCTCAAGCACCAGCCATCTGCCTGAGCCATCTCAGACGCCCGGTCTAGTCAAACCTTCAGATAACTGCAGCCTCCATTGCCATCTGACTGTGATCATATAAAAGGCCCCAGGTGGGAATTGCCCAGCTGAGACTGGTCAATGCACAAAACAATGGGAGATCATAATAAATTCGTATATAATAAATTGTTTTAAGCTACTAAGTTTGGGGGTGGTTTGTTACTCCACAATAACTAGCTAGATCAGAAATAGAATATCCAAAACATATGCCATAAACCAACACCACGTGGGGCGCCTGGGTGACTCAGTTGGTTGAGCGTCTGACTCTTGATCCCGGATCTGGTCATGATCCCAGGGTCATGGGATCGAGCCCTGCATTGGGCTCCCTGCTGAGCATCGAGCCGGTTTAAGATTCTCTCTCTCTCTCTCTCTCTCTCTCTCTCCCTCTCTCTCCCTCCCCCTCTCTCCCTGCTCGTGCTCTCTCTCTCTTTCAAAAAATTAACTAATTGTAAAAAAAAAAAAAAACAGGGGCACCTGGGTGGCTCAGTAGGTTGAGCATCTGACTTCGGCTCAGGTCATGATCTCACAGTTTGTGGGTTCAAGTCCTGTGTCGGGCTCTGTGCTGACAGCTCAGAGCCTGGATCCTGTTTCAGATTCTGTCTCCCTCTCTCTCTCTGCCTCTCCCTGCTTGCGTTCTCTCTCTCTCTCTCTCTCTCTCTCTCTCTCTCTCTCTCTCTCAAAATAAATAAACATTACATTAAAAAATTATTTTAAAAAACCCCAGCCACCTGTATTATTTCTCATGAGTCTGTTGTTTATGTGACTTCAGTCAGTTGGCGAGGGGCTGGCTGCCCTGGGGTGGCCTCAGCTGGGTCAACCCAGCTCTCTCTACCTGATCTCTCATTCCCCAGGCGAACCCAGGCTGTTCTCAAAGCAGCATCAGGGGTTCAACAGGCTTCTTAACAGGCTTGGAACTGGCATGCTATCACCTCCTCTAAATACTGTTCAAAGCAAATCTCAAGGCCAGTGCATATCCAAAGGGTGGGGAAGTCGATTCTGTGTCTTGGTGAGAGGGTCTATAAATTCACAGAGCATGTGAATAATAGGAGGAGTGGAGAATTGTGGCTGTTTCTGTGATCTATTACAGCATCTAATGAGGATATTAAGAAGTTTGCTGAGGGTTATAAGACATAAACCCTTCTTTTGTTTTTACTAGTGCCTTTAAATCTCCATTGCCTGCTAATACTTTTCATTATTTTAACTTTTCAGCCTCTACATGGAGGTAAGGAGAAAAGGACTGCGAGAAGTAGCTTTTAGGTGGCCAGCCTTTCTTGTCAAGTGCCCCAGTCTTGTGGTTTTCAAATCGGGCTCTGTAAAGCCCTGGGGTTCTCTGGTGGCTTCTCAGCAGCTACTACGAGGGGAGTGGGTGTGTCTAAGTGTGATGTCCCCACCTAAATCAGCCAGTTTTGTTCTCTGGTGATTTCCTTTGGAGAAACGTTATGCGGCTTTGAAAAAAGTAAAAGGAAAGATTTGAGGTCCTCTGAACTAGATCAACCTCTGAGTCTTAGAGAAAAGAAAAAAGTCTTAGTGAAGTTGAGTGTCTACTCCAAGTTACTCAGCAAATGGCTGTCTTGGCTGGCCAGTCTGCTGACCCACCACTCGATCTGAGACTAGCTCTCTTAACTTATTCCCCCTGCCCTTCACTGGGTTAAGGTAGGAGAAGTTTGAGGTAGCTTGGTGGGCACGGGGAAACCAAGGCATGCATAAACGATATTCCTGGTACTTTTTAAATTCTATTTCCCCAACAAGTGGGATCATTCACTGTCCTTGAGCCTCGAACCTCAGTGACCCCCATTTATACACAAACATACCCTCACGTACTCCCTATAGGGCTTGATCCCCAGAACCACCAACAATTTAGGGCATCATGTTGGCAGACAGTCTGGGTTGGCTGGTCGACCCCAAAACAGAACTGAGTATGCTGGGTGGAGTTGACTCCTACAAGGCAGATGGAGCTCCATCTGGAAGAAAAGCTCATGTCCCAGGAGAAGTCCTGGTCTTGCTTAGAGCCTGTGATCTCCTTGTTCTCCTTCCAGTGTGTTAATTCCATTTCTTCCCAAGTTAGATTTTTTAGGACAGGGGCTATTTATAGCTCCTCCTAAGCCCTTTTCAGTCTGTTTCCTGTTCAAGTACTGCATTAGTCACCAGAAAGTGTCTCAGGCAATCTCCGAGTGCCTGCCTGATCTCAGCAACAGGGAATAGGGATGATGGTCAGACTCAGGGTGGTCCTGTGGGGAAGGGGGGAAGTAGGAGGCAGCAGGCTGAGCAGGGAGGCAGAGGGAGCATCCCCTTTCCCCCATCCTCTGTGGCATGAAGTTCTGAGTCCTTATGGCTTCCTAGAGTTTGCTTAGCCCTTGGAGACACAGAAACTCCGCTGAGGCGCCTCCATTTGGACACATATTTTTGCCATTACTTGATGACCTATTTGCATGCAGCTCCTTGTAGAGAATTTCCTCCCAAGCCATATACGGTGAGTTCATTGCACCACAAACCAAGGCTTCTGTTCACAGTCAGTGCGAGGCTCCTTCCTGACTTCCTCCTGCCTGTCCCCACATCTCTCCTTTTCACTGGAGCCTACCTAGGCTGCTCTGAGCTTTCTCCAAGCCCAGGTCTCACCAAACATGTTTGTTCCCAGGAAATTACCAGCTTCATCTGAGTGAAAGGCCCCTGATCAGAGCTTTTGCGTTCACAGGCCCAGGAGCAGCGACCTCTGAGGCCAAGGGGAGGAAGAGGCAACTTCAGGCAAGGGAGTGGGCAAAAGGGCAGCAGCCAAGCCCTCCATGCCCCTTCACCTTCCCACGCCTCTGTTCATGTGGTTCCCTTGCCCGAGATGCACACACTGGACCGGGGTGAACGTGTCAGGGGACCCGCTGCCGAAGATCTTCAGCGGGGCACCAACATCCCCTGGCAGCCGCTGGCCACCTGGAACGCTTTGATCAACCTCTACAAATCCTTAGCGAAGAAGTTGAGTTCAAGTTCCTGACCCTGCCTTGCTGGGGACAAAAGAAGGAAAGGTAGAGAGGTGCCGGAGCTTCTGTTTGCATAGCACATCATCAGGTGGCCGGCATCCCACAGAACGCCATCTTTCCAAGTGTCGCTTTACCAATTCCACAAGCCCCAAACCAGGGCACTCCTGCACCTTGAACAGAGCTCCCGAGGGCTTCAGAGACAAGCCTCTAGGCTCTCCTCAGGGACAGCGGCCCCCTCTGTCCCAGCTTCCGGGTGCACCGGGCTCCCTAACACCAGATGGTCACTGAGCACTGCTTTGTGCCAGCTGCCTGCCGAGTGCCATGGAGACAAATGCTCCAAATGCTCAGAAACCATCTTGGTGAGAAGGTGTTTGGGCTAAATGGGACCTCCCAGTCTCACTCAGAGAGCTGGCATGGATGCCAGGGCCCTGAGCGGTGGAGAAGCAAGAATTCAAACTTGAGACAAGCATGCCAGATGCCAGCCCAGGCCCAGGCATATCAGGGCCACTCCACATCTGTGAGGCGCACCAGCAATCTGGCGCCACTTTTCTGATTTCCATTCAGATTCCATCTAGGAGATGTATTACAGACTATCTCCCCACAGAGCACCCTCAGTTATATCCTTGCGAGTGCCAGAGCCCAGAAGATGCGGTCAGGGGCAGCTGAGTCAGACTTAGTCAAGGATGAGATTGCTTCGGCCAGAGCTGGAGGCCTTGGGGCTTATTTCCAGGGGGTAGGTGATCCAGGAGCAGGGCGAGGAGGTCCCTCTTCTGGGACCATGCTGACGGACTCTGAAGCAGAGAACATCAGAGGGTGAGAACCTCATCTAAGCTCCTCTTAGAATGAAGCTCTTTCCTGGTTCCATTTTTTAATTACACCCATCCAGAAAAGCACATAGGACCTTTTACATTCTAATAACTACAAAGCAATCCCCCACGTACTCACCACTCCCATCAAAAAGCGCAACACTGCCAGCACAGTGAAGCCCCTTGCATATCCCCATCTGATCAGACCCACCCCTCCCTCAGGCTTTTATGGCATCTACTTCCTTGTCTCTTTAATTATGTTACCTGAGTCTGCCTCCCTAAAGAAAATAGTTTTGTTTGTTTTGAGCTATTTGTGAACAGACTCATGGTTGGGTTATTTGTGTGTCTGGCTTCCTTTGTTCAGTTACGTTTACCAGATTCATCCACGCTGTTGTGTGTAGCTACGGTGTATCCATTTTCCTGGCTGTATAGTATTCCACTGCATTGATATGCCATATTTATTTGTCGATACTGCTGTTGATGAATATTTGGGTTGTTTCCAGGTCTCGACTATTATACGCAAGGCTGTCATGAACATTCTAGGTATGTGTATCCTGGTACAAATGTGCATGCATTTCTCCAGCGTTTATATCTAGAAGTGGAATTGTTAGGTCATAGGGTGTGCACATCACCCCTTTATGAAATAATAGCCAATGGTTTTCCAAGTTGTTGTGCCTCTTCTTCCTCTCTCTCTTGCATAACTGTTTATGCAAGAATTGCTGGTCCCACGGAGATGCTTCAGGAGAAAGAACTTCAGTTGAGAAATCAATCTGCGTGCGCCTTTGTTTCTTTCCTCATGTTACTGATGGAGCCTGTCAGCCCCTGCCTCACTGTTCCAGCCTCTGTGACTGGAGCTCCCCAAGGTGAGCCCACTACTCTCCCACCTCAGACTCACTCTACTGTGGTTGCCAGACTAATATGGTCAAAGACATGATAGGCAGTTGTCATCTGAAGGTTAGCCCAAGGGTAGTAGGACCCCAGCCATCAGATAGGAAGCCAGAAGAGATGATACATGGTGGGGTCTTTAGCAGGGCTTGCAGCAGGATGGCCCTGTCACATCTGGGGCCTGACGAGCAGGGAAGAGGAGACATTGGGACCCTCACTAGGCCCAGAGACCTGGGGCAGAGGCAGGACTGGCTTCAGCATAGCATATCACCTCTGAGCCTTTGTATTACAGCAGAAACCCAACCTGAATGCTCTTAAACAAGTAGGAGGATTTGTTGGCTTATAACAAAATATAATGACAGGCCTGCCTTCAAGAGGAGCTTAATCAAGAAGAGTAAGATAAAGCTCCAAAGAAAAGACAAGATTCTAGAAGAGGATCAAAAGCCAGCAAACCTCACAGAAGCCAGGCCTCAGCAGGATCTGTAACAGGGGGCAAGTTGGGGAGCAATGCCCTGTGTCTGGATACAGTGGGTGTCCCCAGAGTGTTCCTAGTGCCTAGTGGACCACTGACGCTTGGGGAGCAGCATACTCACACAACCCTACAGAGGCCTGTTTGTACCCTCAGATTCCTGGAAAAAAAAGTAACGTATGCTGAGCATCTGGGAGGGTACTCAGGAAAAGAAAAAGTGAATGTCTGTACTAGACATGAACATTTTGAATATATTTTCTACACTAGAAATTGGGAATCAGGGTCTGAGTTAAGATTTGGCACTATTTTCAGGTAGGTGAGGAAATTTGGGTGTCAATATGTGGTCAGTGTCTCTGGGACATTTCTCTGATGTGTGAGATTAAAAGGAGAAAATATCTGAACTCGGCTGTCTTAGAAATCTTAGAAGTACAGTAACGGCATTGATTTTTAATAATATTTACTTGTGTTTTTTTTTGTTGTTGTTTTATTTGGGGGTGGTGCAGAGAGAGAGAGAGAGAAAGGGAGAGAGAGAGGGAGGGAGAGAGAGAATCCCAAGCAGGCTCTGCCCTGTCAGCACAGAGCCCACGTGGGGCTCCAACCCACAAACCATGAGATCATGACCTGAGCTGAAACCAAGAGCTGGATGCTCAACCGATGGAGCCACCCAGGCGCCCCTACTTGTTTCTTGTTTTGTTTTGTTTAATACAGAAAAACAAAAAGAGTAAAAACCAATTGGCCCAAAATCCCACTGATAACCTCCTTGGCATTTTTCAAAAACAACACCTCTGCATGCTATTTATGCTAAAAGGTATTCAATGAAAAAACAAAACTCCTCTTCTTTAGCTTCCCCCTTTCCACAGGGACCCACTAATCAGATTCTTATGTGCTTTCCAAAAAATTATTTCTTCATCAGACCCAGAGTAAAGGATTGGAGAATCGTTCTGTTAGCTGTCCCACCTTAATGAGGGGAGACCCTCTGGCTCCCTCTCTGGCCAGTCCCCCTGCCCCAGCTCCAGGTAGCCTCTCCAATGGGCAGGGCTACACTGACCCTCCTCTCCCCGCTCCTGCCTCACCCCTACCAAGGCACCCCTCCTGAGGAATCTGACAGCAGGGGAATATTTACTGAATGAGAACACCCTGAAGGGAAAGATTTTTCTACTGATTATATGTCTGGCGCCCTAGAACATCTTCTATTTTTTCCACGGTGATTCATCCAGGGATCATGAGAGACAGGCTGCTGGGAAAGATGCCGTTGCCTTCCCAAGCTTTGATCAGGGTTATACAATCTTGAGCTGATTTCTGCTTGGAAGCCCCCTCACTTCCCCCCTTGCTACTTATCCCTGAAACCTAGGGAAGAGGACCGTATAGCGCCTGGGGGTTATGTTAGCATGAAATCCTTTTTTGTAAGCATTGAGTCATATGATATGCCTGTGTATGACACTGGACGATAGTGTGAGGTTCTCAAAAATTCTCATTTATTCATATCATATAATTCCTGAGAGTTTACCATGTATTCCTCTAATACCTTTGTACTAGGCTTTAAAAATTAGTCAAGTTTTCCTGAGGCTAAGAGAAGCAACTCAGGTATAAGGAATAACTTGCTCAGAGGTGCAAATGTCTGAGACTAAATGCCAAGGCCTCCTTGAAATTAGAATCTTAGAGTAAGTGAAGGCCAAAGTCAGGAACCAGGTTGGAAAGGTAAACGGGGGGTGGATGATGAAGGAGCTTGAATCCTAAGATCATCAATTTTGACTTCATTTTAAAGGCTGATGGAAAACTTTGTGGCTTATTAAGTAGGAGAATGGAACCACCCAGGGACCCCACACTCAAGTGAGGATGATTTGAGGAGTGTTAAGGTACGGGGTTAGTTACTAAGGTTTGGGAAGCATGTAGTAAAACCACAAGGTGTACTGCTATTCCTGGAATAAGCAGCATCAGGGATGTAGGAAGGGGTGAGGGACAGGTGCCATTGCTTAGAGAGTCATGCAAATGTATCCCTGAGAGGAGCTGTGGCCTTTGGTTGGGGTGACTCCACAGTGAGGGGGCCAGGGTGTAAATCCTCAACCTCACTGTCCTCCCCTTTTGACCTCTTCCTGGTACTCCCGATTGGCCAAAACCAACCAGAAGCCAGAAGCCAAGGGAGGCCACTGTCATGTCCATACAGGTCAGCCCCCCCAGGGCCAAGAGCAGGACAGAGTAGATTTGCAGGGGCAAAGGACAGATGTCCAACAAGGCCATCTTGGGCAGAGTGGAGGGTGAATTAGAGGCAGAGGGACAGGAAGAGAGTACAAGGGTCTGAACTAACCTGGGTCATGGAGATAGGGAGGAAGAGAAAGATTCGAGCAATATTGAGGACTTAGAAGAGTCATGACCCTTTCACAGGAGAAACTAGGACAAGGGAGGTATCTAGGGTCACCTGGGTACCTGAGTGGATGGTGACCCCGTTACCTAGGAGAGGAGACAAGTCCAGGGGAAGGTGCTACTAATGGAGAAAAAGAAATCACTCTTTTCTGGCTGGCCAGGGCAACCATGGGCAGAAAAGGCAGATGACTTCCTGTGTCCCTGCTCTGGGCAGAAGCACAATGGCTTCCGGCATCTTTCTCCTTCCTTTTCTGAACCCTTCTGCCCCAGCACTTAGCAGCCCCAATCACCCACTTCCACAGGGGTCTGACTTCCTCAAAGCATCCAGACTACAAACTGATTTCTTTGTTTTCACTGCGCTCCCTTTCTACTAGTCAAAAAAAACCCAGTCCTCCTTAAAGGGGGAAAAAGTGTAGGGGTGGAGGAGAGTGGGGAAAAAACAATGAGGAGTGACTGACTGCTAGTTCTCTGTGGAGATAGATGCATATTTTTAAAGGAACTACTGGGTTGAGTTTCTAATTAACAGATTATGGGGGGGGGGGTGTTTTAGTTTCAACTCTGGACCCTCCCAGGGCACTCAGGATTCCCAACTCTGCCCAGCCCCCCCACCTCCTCCAAGTACACAGGGAAGCAACTTGGCGCCTACTCTACCATGCAAACAACCCCTAATCTGCATTATGTAGTGCTTGGGACTTTCAATGGTGGGTGAAAATTTTAAGTTTGACTTCTAAGAAGCGTGGGAGTAGGGTAGACCTAAACATAATCCTAAAACAACAAGGCCACTTCAGGGTGCTTTGCCAGCCGGGTCTCCAGAAGTGCCCTCTCCCTCCCCCAGTGAAACCCAATTGTTCTACCCACAGAGAGCTGCCTGAAAGGGGAGAGAGCTCCCTGGAGCCCCCTCCCCATTCCTGACCTCCCCACCCCCACCCCTGAAGGTGGGTGTGTGGGAGGCCATGTTGCTAGGCAACTGGCTGTTGTCCTGCAGTTGCCCTGGTGACAAGGGCTTGTGTGTACAAGGGGGTGCTCCTGGGTCCTTGCTGAGTGTCTGTATAAGCAGGCTGGACTTTTCCACCATGATGCGTTCCTGGAAACCATGTCATAATGTGGTTTGTCAAAATTTCTCAGAGGAACAGCATTTGGTCTCCGTAAGGGGTTACGTTCCTGACTAAAGACGCAGCCAGAGATAAATCACAACTGTGATCAACAATCTGTCATAAGCAGAAGGCACAAGTGCCCAAATATCCTCAATGAGTTCTACGGCTAAAATTATGCTCCAAGCCTCACCACGAAGCTATCACTTGACTGCACGTGAAGCCCTATGCATCATGTTCATTCATTCACTCATTCACTGACAGGAAGGCTGTAGGGGTCATTGTGGCTCACTCCTAGCCTCATTTCCACTTCAGATGATTCGTCTTCTAAGCCAACATTATGGGTCATAGTCCCTTAAAAAGATGTATTGATGTCCTAACCTCTACTCCCTTAGAATGTGACCTATTTGGAAATCAGGTCTTTACAGAGATCATGAAGCTAAAATGAGGTCATTAGGGTAGATCATCATACAGTGTGACTGGTGTCCTTATAAAAAGGGGGAAATTTGAAGAGACGTGCACAGAGGAAAATGATGTGAGGAGACACAGGGAGAAGGCCACACGAAGACAGAGGTTTGGAATGATGCGTCTACAGGCCAAGGAATGCCAAGGATGGCGGGCAAACCACCAGAAGCCAGGAAGAGGCAGGGAAGGATTCCCCTACAGTCCGAAGGGAACAGAGTCCTGCTGCTCTCTTGACTTCAGACTTCTAGCCCGTGAGATAATACATTTCTGTTGCTTTAAAACTGCCAGGCTTGCACCACCTTGTTTCAGCAGACCTAGGGAACTAATAATGGCCAACCATGGTAATCCCACCCTCTTGGCTCAACCCTGGCCAAAGAGCAGTGAGGAGAAGCTACTGGGCTGTTTCTGAGAAAGGTTCCATTTTTCCTTCTGCCTGTGCCTGGAGTTGACTCCAGGAATTGCTGTAGCCACCATACTGCGAGCCTAAAAGGCAAAGCCCTCGCGGAGGAAGGCAGGGAGTACGTGCACAGGACCGGGGACAGATGACCTGTTGAGTTGCCATTTGAGCCAAGCCGGAGTGTGGCCAGCCTCT